TTTGTTTCATGAACAAACTCTACAATATTTATGCTAGTGTTTGCACAGCTACAATAAATATTTTATATAGCACAATGAGAGGATATAAAATGACTTTACATGCTGTGTTTACCAATGTTAGCAGTAGTCAGATTATTGCTTTGTACATTAACGCAATTCTTCGAGTTAATGTGTGTACATGTGTAATTTATGACCACATGAAATACACAGCTGTATTAGAAACAAACCCTTGAATTAAAATTATTGACAAGCACAAATACACAGAAGTTCCAAATACTTCAAATAAAAATGTCATTTTAATTATAAAAGATGGTACTAAGTTTGTAAAATGGGGATATCCAGACATAGAGAATTGTAATGCTGCAGTACTTCTGCTTGCAGGATGATGCTTCACGCGATGAGCTACTGCAACGTTCTGAGTTCATGAGGCCATTTTACAATGAACCAAAAGCTGCGAGGAGGCAGTAAATGAGGAAGTAGCTAAACAGTTTCAACATTTCTCAACAACATAAAAATGGAGAACAAATAACAAAAAACTTTGATTAGATGTTTAAAAAAGGTTATTTAAAAAAGTGCAGTTTTTTTCTTCTCATTGAAGCAGATTGGAAATAAAACAAAATAAAGTTAACTTTGCTGCGCCCTACTGGAAGACAGTTGAATTGCATATTTCCCCTTCAGTGAACATTTCTGCTGTTGTTCTTTGGAAATCTGATAAGCCTGCAAGGTAATTTTTATGTAACACTATTTTATGTCATTTTTCCATTATTTTTTCATTTTAACTGTTCTGTGTGAAATAATTTTATTATACCCACAATTCTGCAACTCAGACTCACTTTGGAGTTTCATCCATCCTTTCCAGTTGTTATTTTAGCTTGTTAGAGTGTTCTAGAAAAGGCCCTGTCATCATTTAATGATATGTAAATGTTTTACCACAATTAGTGAATGAATTTCATCAGAAGTCTATCTTCTTCCTCAGTCTAATTCTTCACTTCCTTTTCACAATGTTTCTAAAAGCCAGAGATGTTCCTGTTTACCAAAAACAGCAGTAGAGGCTTTAATATTGTTTAATTGCTGTGTGTCATGACCTACTGCAAGATTCGTCATGAGTTCATGCTCTCCTGCTGTTGCAATGACCCAAATACCCTGAGGAAGCAATAATTAGGAAGTAGCTGCAGTTTCAACATTACTAGGAACCAGCAAAAAAAGGGAGGAGAGGATATAAAACAACATATTTTTGTATTTGATGGTAATAAAGGGACATTTGAAAAGTTATTTTTTAAGTAAAATTCAGTATTTTCTATTTCATATGCCATATTGAAAAGTAAATAAGATAAAAGCTTTACTGCTCTCTGCTGGTTGGAAGGTGAATAGCTGAGCTGCCAAGATTCTGTTTTGAGGGTTTAATTGAAACGTTGAAAAATGAATTCTGCTAAAACACTTGGCTTTTGATTTGGGAACAGCTGTTAAGAACTCTAACACTATCTATTTAATTTAATTTAATTATATTTGTGACAAGGACATTTAGTGCAGAGTGAGATGCGCAAAGAAAAGAGAAGCAGTCTGGAAGGTGAAGCAACAGATATGATATATGAGAGAGAAGTGACTCTGCATCTGTTTGAACTAGAGAGAGAGAGGAAGGCAGAAAGACAGAGAGAGAGAGAGAGAAAGAGATGCTTTTAGCAATAAAACCACTTAAAGGAACAGTGACTTTCAGGATCCTGTGCATGGGTCTCATTTCTGCCTGTATTTTCCTCTGAAGCAGCTGACACAGCAGTCACAGCTGTTTAATTTCTGCAGGTAAGAGTTTTTCATCAGATTCCATTTCTTTTACATGTATGATGTGAGACATTCTCAATTCTGCTTGATGATACTGCAATATTTACAAGATTTATCAAGATTTCTTCTTGATATTGTTTTGTTGAGCTCATCCTTTTAGAGTTCAATGTCCAGAAGTGGTTCTTGGTTTTTATTTGTATTTGTGCTTTGCTTTGAGGAGCAAAAGCACAAGACTTATATAAAACAAGTCAAAACTCAAACTAACCCATCAACTTTGCAATGATACAAATATGTTTCTTAAAAGCTAGTCAACTTGCTTCATTTGAAATAATTTTATTATAGTCATTGTGAGGGTGGCTGTGGAGTAGCTTGTAGAAACGCTAAGTCAGCTCGACTTTGTCCAAATTTAGAGGATGTAGTTTGAAAAAGGGAAAAATGGAAGTAAAACACTGTTTTCCAAATGTTGCTCTACAGACGGAGTCAGAGCAACGACTTGTTGGTGCATTATCAAAATAAACTGATCTGTATGAGAGCCATTAAATCTAAATTATTCTAAGTAGCACAAATTTCCATGGAACTGACATTTGGATCTTTCTTGATGTAACATAAATTGGCTTTACTGGCTCATCACAGTCACTAATGGGTTTTGAACTGAGCTTGTTAACAAAATTTATCTCAGACTTTTTCTACAAACTATTTAACAAAACAACAATTCTTAAACTTTGCCTGTGACAATTGTGTTCCAAACCCCTGGAGAGGAGTCTGGTTTCAGTCTTTTGATTAAATAAAGTGTATTTTCTAATGTGTATGTATCATGTTTTCAGAATTTAACAGAACTTAAAGTACATTTGTAAATCTAGAGGAAACATTTCCTGTGAAAGACCACAACAGGCCAGAACAAAGTTTGAGGTTTGCCCATGTCAAACAAACAGGAAGTCTTTTTTAGGATGAGGTTATTTTTTTGTTTTACCGCTGCAGTCATAGTGATCATTGATAATGGGGCACCATTATCAATGGTATATTCTATTTTTACAGTTTTTTATTTTATTTATTGCAATATGAGTCCCTCAAGTCCAGTGAATAGCTATGTAGTAGTGAACTGCCAGAGGTTTAAAATAAGGTTAAGTTTGCACAAACTGATAATGTACATTTCAGAATTATAAAACAAAATCTTTTTCAATTAATACCTAATTGGTTAACAATTTAAAGCTGTTCTGAACCAATGCATGATTTATAAAGCCTTGAAAGTTGGTGCTACTACCAACAGGTGTTTGAAATTTTCTGGATTATTTACAACTTTTTCTGTGCAAAAACCAATGTCTGAACACACTGTGGTGCCATTTCCTTCAGAAAAGAAGAGAGTTGCGACATAAAAGGCCTTTTTGTTAGGAGAAGAGGGCAGACCATTATTACACTTATATCTCTATGTCTCTCCTAAAGAGAAATTGTAAAGAAGGTCAGTCAGTGAAGAATATTTACTTCACCATCAAAATATACTGAGAAACATGGGCAAACTCTGACAGGAAGACGTTCAGCAGAAACTTGTCCTCTGATTGAAACTCAGTCAGAGGACAAGTTTCTGAGAGTAAATAGTTTTTGTGGTATGGGGTTCACAGGTCAACAGCCACAAGCATAGCCTATAGTTATTGTGCTCAGAAAGATTCAGTTTTAGCTGTGAAGAGAAGACTTTGAGCTTCAGGTTTTTTAGGACAAGTTCCAACAAGAAAGCTTTTGCTAAAAAAGTCAGAATAAGTCAAAGAGGCTTGTCTGATTTATGAAACACTGATACCAGACTCCTGACAATAGGAAGAAGGTATTATGAAGTGATGAATCAAAATCAGAATATTCAATCCATTACACAAGATATCTGTACACTGCTGAATCAATGAATAGATTGCTTTATAGCTACTATTATAATAACTTCCTCACTTCTTTCCTTTTTTATCAATGTTTACCATCTTATTTACCTTCCCTTCCCATAAAGAAGAGCAATTATCTATAAAAACTGATATAATCTGACCTGTGTATGAGGATCAGTGTAATAGCTGCATGTATCACTTGCGTCTCATAAATATAAATGTTTACTCTTCCTATGTTGTCACAGATCTGTACCAATGTCATTTTTCTGCAATATGACATAATGAAGTTAGATAGCATGTGACTCCTGTCTGCTCATGACCCCATTAACTGCTTTGTGCCCAGATTGTGTTTTCTTATCTGAAGCTAAAGGAAACTGTACTGTTATTGCAGTTTCATGCTAATTTTCTTTTCTGAGTAAAGATGTTTTGCTTCTGCACGCGATATAAACCCGACCCGCTCACCAGCACTTTGTTCAGACGGTAACATTTTTTTTAATAAGACAAACTTATTGCATATAAAATCTGAATTTGTTTCAGATTAAATTCTGCATGTAATTGGAGAGAACTGTATTTATTAAGCAAGAATATCACTTTATTATCTTTACAAGCACTTTTGTTGGAGCACTGACAGAAAAATGTTTAAAAGGTTCCCTTTAATGCTCCTACTTGTGTGTTTATTCAATCAGACATTTTCCAGGGTTACCACCAGACAGTGCAAACTCATTTTATTTTCAGATGATAAAATGTTAGAGTTCATGTCGTCAGACAAAGTTTCCTGTCTGATGGTCACTCACACCCTAAGTTGTGACATTTCTTCTAAGATAAGTTTCATGTCTAAGGAGGTTTACACCCATTGCATGAAGTCAGCATTCTCAGTTAGATTGGCCAACATGGTTCCTTCTGTACAGTCTGTACTGCCTTCTGTAAATTAAAAATGTTGTATTTCAAATGAATGTCCAATTTAACTAAACAATTGTTACATTCCATATGTGCTTACAGCCAGGATTCTTTTAACAAGGTTTTCTGTAAATCTCTTGAATTTTGACCTGAAAATGGATGTACATTATTGAAGAAAATAAAATATGGCAGAATATTTTACACAGTCCTGCCCTTTATCTGGTGGATCTACATGAGTTGTTTTCTCTGTTTTCTGTGAATCAGATCTGCATGGCCTGATTCACAGAAAAATCCAAATCAACAAAATAATTATCTTCCATTTAAACACCAGTAAATATTTCATAACAATTTTTTAGGTTTGACAAATATATTTCACCAAATGCCTCAGGAAAGAGGAATCAGGAATCTTTCCTGGATTTCCTTTCCAACTATTGAAAACTAAATCTTCTGATGATGTTTATTTTTCAGTGGCACAATGTCCAACTCCTCTCTACATCCATTGACTGTCAAGTCCTCCAAGGATGACCACACAAATGTGGATGTTGTAGCCGTCATGGAAAATATCAGCATTGTCCTCTTCACAATGACTGTCGTGTTTGGGATCACAGGAAACTCTTTCGTGATCTGGGTGGCTGGATTCAAACCCAAGGTAGATAGATGCACAGCTCCTGATGTTCAATATTCTTGTGTCTGTTTCTCTGCTAAATAAACATGTCTTGACTTCTCTGTAAATTTACAAATGCTTGCATGCTTTTAAATAATTACAAATATGAGTTTAAAAAGTTTTAACTTATATCTGCACCATATAAAATATCATCCATCTCGGAAAGTAAAGATTTTCTTTCTCTTCAATAACGAGTCGAGAAAATGGTGAAATTTGTATTGAAAAGTTGAATTGTTATCCATTTAATGTTTTTATTCACTTTCATTACAGCCAAAAGTTACCGATGTGTGGCTGGTGAACCTGGCGATAGCCGACCTCATCTTCTGCATTACACGAGTTTTCTCCCTGATCAAGAAGCTCTTCTTTGACTATTGGCCCTTTGGAGAATTTCTCTGCAAGTTCAACGGCTTCTTTAAATATGCCAACATGTTCTGCTCCGTCTTCCTGTTGGCTGTGATCAGTTTGGACAGGATGCTCTGTGTGTGGAGACCCGTCTTCACAAAGCGACGGCGAACCCTGTTTGCTGCCAGAGTGGTGGCAGTTTGTGTCTGGATCACAGCCACCCTCTTCAGCAGTCCCTACTTCATCTATCGCCAAGTCTACCCGGGAAAAAACAACCTGAGCAAATGTTCTTTGGAGGTGAAAGAAGGAGACAGCAACACCAAATTTGCTCTGTATTTAAACAGGTTCCTGTGTGGTTTTGTTTTTCCTTTCTTGATCATTCTGATCTGTTACATCATGGCTGGCATCGGCCTCCGACGCACTCGCCTTGTAGGAAAGACACGCCCCCTGCGCATACTGGCATCTCTGGTCATTGCATTCTTCTTGTGCTGGGGTCCTTACCACTGTTTGCTCCTTGTGAAGTTGGTGGATAAAAAGAATGCAGTGCTGAAAGTCTGGCAGCCTTTGGCCAACGGCTTTGCCTACTTTAACAGCTGCGTGAACCCGCTGCTGTACTTCTGCATGGGGCTGGAGGTGAGGGGCCAATTCAGACAGAGCTTGATGGGCATTTACAGGAAAGCTTTGGCTGACGACATCGATGGACAGACTCTTCAGTCTAACGAACGCTCTCTGGATGAAAGTTGTGTGTCAAAATGCAGTGCTGCTGTGGTGTCAGAAAGGACTCCAGTTTAAGTCCCTCCTGTTGGTCACCATGTGTTTGCTCCCTGAAGATGATTCATGCAATTTAGAGGTGGATTATATAGTAGTTATAGTCAACATGCCTCAATATTACACTGAAAGCTGCAGGTTTTTACAGATTTTTTCTTTCTTTTTTTTTTGTTAACCAGTTGACATGATGAACAATTATCTTGTACAAAGAATTGACATAATTTGTGCCCATGGTACTTTTGGGACAAGCTTTGATGTTACTGTATTATAACCATTTGTAAAGTTAACTACCACAAATATATTTTTAAAAGCATGTTTTTTGTAAGCAGTACAAAGAAGTCCAAAATGTGCTTATTAACTATATCAGTACATCATGTTAGATACTTTTTACATTTTGCATGTTGAAGCTACTTACTGCTAAATTTAAAAAAATACTGACTTTACCAAGAGTTTTGCCAAATTTAACTCAAATTTTCCTTCAAATGTGGTTTGAGTTGTTTGTGAAACGTGGAACTATTCTGTCTGGAGGAACATAAATTAAAAAAAAACAGAGGGAAGTGAAACTATTTCAGGAAAGCCAGTAATAGTCATGACTGTCTGTTTTTCTAGAACTCACAGCAAACATGAACTGAAACTGTACAGAAGGTCTGATGCTTTTCGAGAGAAAGCACACCTTGTTTTTAAGATAAATTCTTTTAACTTGGCTCTTTAAATTCTGCTTTAAAGGATTTCAGTTATTATTTATTTCAATCTAGACAGATGTAAGTACTGGAAGTGGGATGGTCTTATGAAGACCAAACTGGAGTCATGAATCTGGTTATCCACCCCTGGCAACAAGCTCATAAAGCATCGGTGCAGAATTCAATGTGCAGAGTACTTACACATCACTGGGAGACGAAGGAGACTGTTTATCTTGAACATATTGATGTTCATTCTACAGCACCATGCTGGTGCATTGTGCAGTTTGACATTACAATATGTAAAACGTTAAAGCTCCATTTTATCTCTGAAGCTTCTTCAATCGTCAAATGATATGATGTGAATATAAAATAAAATATTTAAACTGTTTTTGTGTGTGCATATTTTATTGTAGATATGATTATTTTTGCTAAATGACCACATTTAATTTATTCTTTGACCAATAATCTATATTTTATTGGTCAATGCACGGAATGATTGTAATTACTCTAGTTTTTGGTTGAATCCCTTGAAATGCTCACTTCAGAAACTTGTTTTTCATGATGAAAGTCAGTCATATACTGATCAGTCAACCAACAGCTTTTCTTTATGATTCAGGTATTTCATCAAAATGACAGACAAAATCAACACCTGCATTAATGTAGATAAAATGCATCCATCTATCCAACTCTGACTCCATCCTCTGACTGGGGACACGGCTGCCATTTTCTTTTTTCTAGTTGTCACATTGTTTGCTGAATTTTTTTATGTACAAACAAAAGCCATACTGATAACTCAAAGCACTTAATACTAGAGCCAAATTCATCTATTTGTGTTCACAAAGATATGCACATCGGTTGGTAACTTGGAGTTAAGTCTCTTCCCCGGAGGCTCATAGTCATGTCATACCAGGAAGCTGAAATTGCAGGAAGACTACTTTACCACAGTTGACCCAATTAATATTAGTGATTAATTTTATATATTTTCCAAAAAAGTAGCTAAAAGTAGCTGTTTTTTTCATTTTGAATTAAATATAGTTTTGGTATTATTTTAGTTAAAATTGGCAAATGGAGAAAAAGTTTGGAAGGTTTAATTTACTATATATACTGCAGTGAATTATATTTGGTGGCTTCCAACTGATGAGAAAATGCTTATTTTAGACATTAGAGATTTGGTACCAAACATTTGAATGAAACTCATAAATTACTTGAATCTTTCCTTATTCATTGGAAAAATGACTCTATGGCATCTTTAATTTGTGTGTCGGCCAATAGCTCTGAAGAACCATCGGGACATGTAAGAACCTTCCTTCAGGCAAGTCACTACAAGAAAAGGCCCATTAAAATTCGACGTCACAGAGAGGAAAATTCACCCAGAATGAGTCAGAGTCACCAGAAGATTCAGCTGCAGTTCATTTCACAGGTGCATTGCTTCGGCTTAAGACTAGACATTCTTCTACAAGAGAGGTTCACAGGTACAGTTAACTTCATTCTAAACTTAAACTAATTTTTGCTTTTTGTTGGGAAACATGAAGCGTGATGATTGTCTATGCTCTCAAAGTAGAGTCTCCATATACAGAGATTTATGTACTGTATTTATCAGTTTCACACTTAAGATCAAAATATCAACATTTACATAAAAAAATTTGATCTATCTATGGAAATATAGATATTGATCTTTGTTGGAGTCGCTGTTTTTTAATGCTTGTTTTTATGTGTGCATTTAATTTGGGGGAATTGTATGAAATTAGGCTTGATGGCTGAACAATGTAAACAACATTAAAATGAAACACATGAATTATGTGCCATGTAAACAATGTTGATGCAGGATCTTATGAAAACATGACACTTAACCGCTAAGGTTTCATACTTCTAAGATCAGGAGTGAGTGAGGCTGTGTGTGACTCTCACTCCCACAGGAAGGTAAAAACAAGAACAAAAAGGTGTCTCCTTTCCTTTTGATGATTTTTCAGTAGGTTCTGTAGTAACAACCTGGAATCCCATTTTATAAGTTTTGAACTTGCGTAGAATCTTGTTGCCTTTTCTTGTCAGAAATAACAACTGACTGATTATTTGCTCATCTGGAACTCCCCCCTGAATTTCCTGGAAAAATAAACTGTTCTAAGAAAAACATAAACAAACACAATGATTCATTTTGACTATGACCCAACATGGAATTATGAAGTTTTCACATGTGAACAGCTACCGGTTCATAAATTTTGTGTAGTACTTGCTTTCTGAAATACAGCTTTGAAAAACGTTTCTGTTTTTTGCATAATAACACATTGTGTTCTGTGTGTCTCCATGTTGCCCTGTGATTGACCTCACCTTAACACAAATGGATGGAAAGTAGCTTGTGCACATCAAGAAAAACTTTTAAAAGCTTTTAAGACAAAGATTCAAAATTATATATATTCTCTTTTCATATAGAAATGATAAAATATTTGAATATGTTGTGTTTTTCCCAGCAGCATAATGTTTGCCAACAACTCACTGCCTCCCAGCAGTAAGGATAATCACAACAATGTGGCTCCTGAAGCCGTCATGGACAACTTAAACACCGTCCTCCTTACACTGACCGTCGTGTTTGGGATCACAGGAAACTCTGTGGTGATCTGGGTTGCAGGATTCAAGCTCAAGGTAAAATACATCAACATGCATTTAAATTTGTGGAACTGTGGAATATCATTTATAGAACATGGGCGATGGACCAAGACTTCTTCAATTGATAAATGAACACTGTTGAAAAAGTGTCATTAGTTTTTTCTTTGTCTCTTTTTGGATTGTACGACAAGACAAATACAGAGATTTCATTTTTCTGAAAATGGTGCCTAATGTTTAACTTGTTTACTGTTCTGGTTCACTTTTAATGTTTTTTTTTTCTTGTCTTTTGTTCTCTCCCTTTTATGTCTCTCTTGTTTTAACATGCAGCAAAAAGTTACCAATGTGTGGCTGGTGAACCTGGCGATAGCCGACCTCATCTTCTGCATCACACGAGTTTTCTCCCTGATCAAGAAGCTCTTCTTTGACCACTGGCCCTTTGGAGAATTTCTCTGCAGGTTTCACGGCTTCTTTAAATACGCCAACATGTTCTGCTCCGTCTTCCTGTTGGCTGTGATCAGTTTGGACAGGATGATCGGTGTGTGGAGGCCCTTCTTTACAAAGCGACGGCGAACCCTGTTTGCTGCCAGAGTGGTGGCAGTTTGTGTCTGGATCACAGCCACCCTCTTCAGTAGTCCCTTCTTGTTCTACCGCCAAATCCACCTGGGAGAGAACAACTTGAGCAAATGTTCTTTGGATGTAAAAGAGGGAGACAACACCACCAAATTTGCTCTGTATTTAAACAGGTTCCTGTGTGGTTTTGTTTTTCCTTTCTTGATCATTCTGATCTGTTACATTATGACTGCCATTGGCATCCGACGCACTCGCCTTGTAGGAAAGACACGCTCCCTGCGTATACTGGCATCTCTGGTCATTGCATTCTTCTTGTGCTGGGGTCCTTACCACTGTTTGCTCCTTGTGAAGATGGTGGATAAAAAGAATGCAGTGCTGAAAGTCTGGCAGCCTTTGGCCAACGGCTTTGCCTACTTTAACAGCTGCGTGAACCCGCTGCTGTACTTCTGCATGGGGCTGGAGGTGAAGCCAGAGCTGAGATGGAGTCTTACAGGAATTTGTAAGAAAGCTCTGACTGATGATAGCGAAGAACAGGTGAACCAATCAGATCGCAGAAAAAGCAGTGCATCAAAATAAAACTTTGTGTTTGAAGAAAGAACACAAGTCAAAGTGTTTCTTGTTGGTATCTTGGCTTTGACTTCGTGGAAATGCTGCACATCATTCCAGATGTTAAACCTTTGTTTCAAATGGAGTTGTAAAGCATATTCAATTCAACTAAATGCTCTGCTCAGCATCTTACTTTTTTACCAAAACAAGTACTTCCTGTTTTTTTTATGTTTGTGCTCGTGATTTACAATGAAGTGAGAAAGTCGAAGTGTCTGTTGATGAAAGGATGAAAAAGCAGAGGGAAGTGAAAGTTTTCAAGGAAGTCCAGTAATATTTATGATTCAGTATGTTTTGACAAAGGTCAAGAGGAACAGACAAAATGAACTTGTATGGAAAGTGAACTGCTATTTTTGTGTCTTTCTAAGATTTGGCTTCATACAATCACCACACAGAATGACTTCTGATCATGTTATGCTGCAGCAGAATGCTGATGTATTGTGAAACAGTAGCATATGTAGCTTACAGTTTTGTTTTGTTGTTAGTGTCTGTAATTTGTATCTACATTATCTACTTGAATAGTCTATTTCTGCCAATTTTACTATAAACATTATTTTATTTATTTTATTTCATTTTTTTTAATACTGTCCACATAGCCAATTCTTTTCAGATAAAAATCATTGCAAAGGTTAAGTAAATCTTTTGGTGATTTTGAAAAGATCATCCATGCCTTCATTTCATCCTAACTGGACCATTGCAATGTTTCCGGGCCTCAGCAGCGAGGAATGATTCCTGACGAGGTCATTCAGTTATTAGTTTTTAGTTTAGGTGCGTTCCTTCATGTCGGAGAAGGAATGCACCTAAAAGTTGTAGCACAGTAGTTACCAAAGACTGGAGGTGGAGGTCCATAATATACACTAAAGAACTGTTGTGAAATCTAACCTCTGTTATGAAAGATAAAGCTCTGGATTCTCATGAAGATTGTGTTTGCTGATACAAACTGTGCCAGCATAAGACTGTGAAAGAGTTGGCAGCAGACGGGTCTGTTATCGGCAGAGATGTTGAAATCGCACTGGGTTGAATTTACATTATTTCAGTGATTTTATTCCAAATCGTCTCATGATGCAAATCTTTCTTGGAATAAAGTCATGTGCATGTTCATGCAGCCACAGACAAGACAGATCAAATCAGTTTACTCATGAGAAATTTTACTTTCCTTCTTACATGTGCAAGTAGGAATTCATATTTGTCAATGAAAACTAAACTACCTTGTCCAGCAGATTTATTCACATCAGCAAATTCGATCTCACCATGACATTCTCATAATTAGAAACTGTGAAAACGTATTGCCGTATCTCTTTGTTTGACTATTGTCAAAGAAACCTGACAATCGTGCATGAATCCTCTGCAGGGAGATGGATGTAATGTAGAATTTCTTCAATGGGCAGAAACTGAGATCTTTTTGTTTTTACTCATGACATGTCAAATATAAACCACATATAGCAGAATTTATTAAGGTTAAGTAAGTACATTCATTATATTTGTAAACGTTTACCACATAGCGAAAGCTTAAAAAATGTCTGAAGTTTTTTTGGTTCAATAAATTGTGCTACTTTAAACAAAGTCCTCTTGGATAATTTGAATGTTCAGGTTTGAGTTGTAGAATTCAGATTCCCAGTCTTGTGATGACTGGTTTTCCTGGTCTGTATTGTAGGCCGACTCATCGTTTGAATCTGCAACAGAGTCCACCTGCAGAGAAATTAATAAGTCATTTCTTGATAAAAATGCAGTCAGAACAATATGATTTTAATAATGCTTAAATGCTAAATATGATATCAAATTTATGTCTATACCTTTATTAATCTTTGCAGCATTTTTAAAGTAAGTCTCAACAGAAGCAACTAATAATCATTATTAGTAAAAGTGTCAATACTATTAAAAGAAACCATAGTTGTTGTGTCAAAACTGGTGATATTCCATATGAGAAATAAAAACAGTAATTAAGAATACTTTAGTATTAACAGAAATAGTCGGTACCTCATTCTCTGCAGATTTGTGCTGTTTGGGCTCTGTTTCCAGAAACGCTATGTAGTGAATGAGGGTGGAGACTCTAAAACAACAGAAACAAAGATGTCACATTTTCAACCCAAAGCATTAAAAACATTGTGGAGAAGATGAGATTTAATATGAGGGTTCACCTGTGGTGCAGCATGCCAACAAACTGAAGCAAAACTGAAATGGCAAATCCCAGAATGAACATGAGGTTCATGGGTTCGATTTGGCTCGTCCTCCCGGTTTCCTGCAGGTTGAAGTCAACAATCTTGATCTTGAGGGAGAAGACATCAAAGACCTGGAAGATGAACGCTGTCATCAGCCACATGGCGTTCAAGAAGAAGAAGGAAAAGTTGACCTATGTTGGGTGAGATATCCAAAGTTAGACTAAAACAAAGTGAAGTTTACTGCAGCATCATTTCATTTATTCGTGTTTACCTTGTTTCTCAGCTCTTGTAAGTCATTTTTGGTCTTTTCTTGCTTTTCCTTGTCAATTTTCACAGGTTCGAGGTATTTCTTGATGAGCTCATTCCAGAAGTTTTCCTCATCCTGCAATGATCCAAAAAACAAATAAAAAACAATGGCTAGATAAAATGAGAGGAAGTCAAAGTATATTGACATTCATAAATAACAACATGTTAGTAATTGTAACACATATATTTTATAGGGGAAAAAATCCTACTGCCCCACTTTGATGGCACTATCACTGATACTGAAACCCCAACACACTTCTGAACCATTTCAAAAGACAAGATCATAAAAAGGAAATAATCTTTGACCATCCACTTCTACACGATCTCTCTTGGGCATCAGATTTCTTCAGATCAGTTAACCAGTTTTCCATAGTAAATATGCATAAAATTTGCTCAATTTTGTAAATGTTGGGGTGGGAGAAGTGGCTGGTTGACCTTTCATGACCTCTGTTAACAGCACAAACAAAGACTTTTAGCTGCACAAATCAGTACAAACAACTGACACCAAATTAATTTTATGTGAAGAAGGTGTTGGGGCCAACTTCACTCACTATTTTGGAGAAAGAGCAAAAAGATGCCAAATACAGAAATTCGAAATGTGCAGTCGTTAGGAGAGCTGCAGCAAATTTGGCCACTGTGTGATTTGTAAAATCAGGTCTTCAGATAGTGACAGCTCTATTTAAGATAAAAAAAACAAAAACAAAACATTTGCACCTTGTCCAGAAAATGTTCCTGCAGCTGTATGTCATTGGACAAACGTTCCAGTTCATTTATCCAACCTGAAGAACAGAACACAAAAGAACATTTCAAAACTTGGCAAGTTCTGGGATAAAATACACAAATTCCTCTGGACTCACATTTAGCCGGACAGTCAAAACCAGTCTTCACTTGCCTAAAACAAATCCAGAAAATAGTAATAATATCTATTTATTATATGATGAAAACTTTGTAGCTGTTTAAATCTGTGTTTAGAACCTACATTTGTTCCTTTTCGGAGACGTCGTTAGCATCAGTGTCTTGGGTTTGAGGATCAGGCATCGACTCAGGCACCAGATTCTCCTGAGGCTGGGCATTTATCAGAGGCTGGGTATCTTCTGATATCGGAAGGGATTTTTTACAGCATTTCATCCATGAGCAGAGTTTCTGGAAGATGCCCTTAGCTGCAAAGGGGGAAAAAAATTAGTTTTGCTGGGAAAAAAACGGTATTTTGTAGCATTACTTTTTTCTCTTCTACCTTTTTTTGTTTTTGCTCGCAGGGTGGAGACTCCAGGGGCTGCCCCTGGAGTCGGTTTTGTTTCTCTGGTTCCCCATGAGACACTGTTCATGTTGACCATGGAGTAGATGGTGAGCAGGAGGTAGGCACTTGGGATGCAGATGATGTAGAGAAAGCCATAAAACACTAAAGGAAGTTCTTGGGGATGCATCAGTGCAGTCACAATGTAAATGATGGACATGGCCACAATGAAAATGCTGCTGGGTGTCAGAATGGTCTGTTCCTTAATTATTGAGGCTGGTGCAAAAGATAACACATATTTAAAAAATAGCAACATGATTTAAATACATTACGGGAGTTAGAAATGCCATTTATATTTACCAATAATGGATATTGCCACCACCACCATGAGAAACGCATATGCAACACTAAGAATCCCTGCAAGAGAGATCTGAGTGTCTGGCTTGAGTTTAAAGCAAAGACCCAAGTAAATGGCAGGAGGTATCACAGCTATGACCAGAGCCACAGCAGGAGGCATTTCCAAGATGAAGGACAAACTAGCTGGAGGAGAAAACAGGATGGAACATTTTCCTTTCACCTTTGTACATCTCATTTGCATTTATTTTTGTCATTTTAACTTTCAAACATACAGACAAAGATACTGACCTGCAACCATGAGGCAGATGGTTGACGGAGCAAGAATGGCAGAAATGATGCCGAACAGCTGGTAGAACATGAACAGTTTGGACATGGATAAGTTCCTTTTGGAGACAATGTTGGTTGAGCCCAGCAGATCCACAACGTTTGCCATTGTGGAAGGGCCCCATCGTTTGCGCTGAAGAATAACAATAACCAGAACTCAAACCTTTTGGAGATCTGTCAGACCTCTCATAAACACTCCCCTAAACTAGGAGACAAAGTCATTTGCAAGGCAGAAGAGAGCCTGCAATAATCTGAATTCAAAATAAATATTCAGATGGCATCAATAGCAAAAAAGAAAAGAAAAAAAAAACAATTTAGAGAGATGATTAATCTATGAGGGTGGTGGTAGCACTTTGGGTGATCAGGCTTTATTATTTTGTTGTTACAAATTTAGTAAAAATATTTTTCTTTCCCTCTTGTGCTCACCTGGTTATAAAGCTCCTTGAAGTTTTCTGGTGCATTGGTGTAGGCATCAGATGCTGCATTGTATTCAACTCTCCAGCCTTGTTTCAGTAGCAGAGTGCACAGCCAGCGGTCCTCACCTGCAATTAAAAGAAAACCAATATGGGACAACGTCCCACTGAAAGGTATCTTACATAAATCCAAAACTATCAGGAAGAATGAACATACTTTGATGAATTTTATCATTATGCAATGGAGGTCTATCTAAACCAACATTTAATTATTAACTTCAGAAGATTGAAAATGGATTTTCATACAGCACCTATTACCTTGGTCGTATTGGATGTAGTGGCTGGGCTCTGTGGAGTTGGTTGAATATTTCTTCATCACATTGTCATCCATTAACGCCTCTGCTCTGAACAGACTGAAGCAGCCGGGGCTGCAGAGAACGGAGCCAAAGACATGCTCAGCTGTCTTCTGCAGCCAGTGACTGACAGCGTACTCAAACTTCTGGAACCAAACAGCAGGACCTGCGGGACAAATGCAGAGGTGTTCAATACTTTACTTGTGGCTCTGTCCGCAGTGGCACAAATGAAAAATGGTATATTTTTATTTGTGACAACCTGATCCAGTGGGGTGAATTCTGCCACATGCTGCACCAACACGAGGATACATTTTCAAACGATCAATAAGCAGCATCACAGCCGCTGGTTGGAAGTCTGTGTCCCCATCCAAAGCCAAGAGATACGTGTTGTGCTTCTCTTTCTGAAAGAAGCAAAAGTACACTGTCTCAATTCAATTTGTGATGGTCAGTATTTGCAGTTTGCATTAATGTTTGAGAAAGTCAAATATTTTCAGAAAAGATGCGTTATCTCACCTGGATCTTTCTCCGAAGCTGCTTTTCATGTTGTCCCTCCTGCCAGTGTCTGTAATACTTGGTCATCAGTTTCCAACCGAGTAGATAGTAAAGATACATTACCTGTAAATTATTAAATATCGATTAGCAATGCAAGTGTTTCCAACTTGAGACATTGATGTCATCAATAAGATATTCTCTACCTGAGACCATCTCTTCTTGTTCCGAATTTTCTCTTTGTCTTTGAAGTGAACTACAATGTTATTCCCATGAGGCATTTCAACAACAAGACGAGCTCCATAAGGTGTCTTTATGATTGCCTGATCAGGAATTTGCTGCTGTACCTCAAAGAATGTTTTATCAAGGTTCTTGAAGATGCTGGTGACAAAGAATGAATTACATCAAAATTGAAATTGTTCATATTGAAAATGTGCCTCTGGTCATAAATCCAGTTTTGACACCTGAGAAATGCAACGTGTTCATATATTTCAACTTGGTTCTTACCCATAAACATCTGCAATAATTTTCACAAGGTCCTTTGCATATGTGTTCAGATGACGGTGTTGACTTCCTGTAACATTTGTGAAGGCATCATCAAAGTAGATATGGGCTTCAAAGGTGAAATCATCAAACTGCGGCTGTGTCAAACTTTTTGGTTTGTATTGGTCCAGTCTTTATTGATAAAACACAAAGGAGAGCATGTAAAAAAGTCCATTATTATAAAAGTAAGAAGGAGGATATTAAGAGAATATCCTTCTGGTAAAACAAATTACTAATGTTGAAACTTAGTTTCCTTGAAATTAATCAATCATTTAGAGACTTTCACAAATATTTAATATTAGTTAGTCATGTCCTACAGATTTAAAAAAGACAAACAATGGAAATCAGCTCACATGACATCAACAATTTTTCCTCATTACAATTTTGACTCACTCTTAGTCTGACCCCTACTGTTCA